GGGACATACCCCAAAAGCTTGTCCTCAAAATTCTATGTTAGTGCAAATAAAAAAATATCACGGACAGTACTCAATTGTTTCTGTCGCAAATGCACTAATGCGGCTACAAAGTCCTCCTTGCAATGAATTTTTAATGATTTTAATAGCATGGATGCCAAAACAACATTACTTAAAGAAGCACTGGGAACTTTTAGACTTGCAAGTGCAGTCAGATGAAGGAAAACTTCCAATAAGCTCAGTAGCTATGGCAAGGTGACACCTATACAGCAAGGCTTCCCTCAATTAAATACAGAAAAGGGGCACAAGATCAAAACCAAAGTTTAATTGTTGGTAAAAAAAAAGCCATTTAAAACGCGTTTCAATGCCCCTTCATCAGGGCTCAACACTGTCAAATTGTTGCTGCACGTGTAGAGTTATAATGGTTCTGCTGGTTCTAATATACCTGTAGATCTGTAGGTCACTGTAGAGTCCTTTCACATTTTATCATGTGTTCAGTCCTGATAAAGGGAAATAGCACTGCGCTGAAACGCGTAGATGCATTTTTATATAACTTTTTTTATTTTACCAGCGATTACAATAAACTTGGACTTTTTAATTTGGTTTTGGGCTGGCACTCCTTTCTGTATTTCTATCATTGTAGTAGCATGACTAAGCTAATAAATCTCTCCTGTGTAGCTCCAGCCTAAAAGAGGTCAGACCAATGAAAGAGATTATGATTGGTTGTTTAAGACTTGCTGTACTTTTTGTTTTAACTAAATAGGCTCATGTTTTTGGATGTATGTCTGTGATACATTTTAATACACACACACTCTCACACACACAAAAGCCACACTTTTCATTGTCACTGCTATGTACAATCTGATTGTGCACTTATGACCGTTTGAATGACAGCATTAGCGCTCTTGAAACTCTAGATGGAAGGACCTCTTGGCCCACAAGTTGGTATTGGGCCTGCATTGCAGAAAAACCCCACCTTAAGAGGGGTTTGAGGATCACTAGCTTCCATAGATGTGCTATTAATGGTTTCTGCAGATCGGAGTTGAAGGGTTTTTTAATAAAGGAACAGGAAGCGCAATTACGGTAGGACCACAGACATTTGTGGAGATAATGGAGACCAACCTCCAATGTTGTAAAAAAAACTCTTAGATCTGTAGATCTAAGATGATAAGATTTAACAGATGAAATTGCTTTACCTCCCATATTCCTCATATCAACAGGGGATGCCAAGGCTCACTCGGGCTCCTGTTACCCTCATAATCATCAAACGAAAAGAGTGCACTCGGTTTCTGATCTACTATATGTCCTTCCTTTCATTCTCAGCTTACAATCAAAGCATCCTCAGCTTACAGTGAAAGCGTTAGCGCCCCTGTCTTGCTTTGATTGTAAGCTGAGGATTAAATAAAAGAAAGAAGATCAGAAACTAAGTGCCAACTCTTTTGTTAAGAAGATAAGACAACTCATCTGAAACAGGACAGCCTTCTTGTTCTCAATGATAATGGCAAGATGTTGTTCAGTATTCTAAGGGCCCTTAGTCCTTACTGGACTTTGATTTTTCCTTCTTTTCCAAAAAAAAAAAAAAAAAGATCATTCCTACTATATGTCAGATGCGTGACAGCATACACATCTGCTATACAAAAGCGTACTGGTGGACCTTGGTGTCTCTGAACAGCCCTGGTGAGTGGTGTTTATTAGAAGCCCCTATGTTCAACAGTACAAAAAATTGCTCTCTTGTGCAGAGTGATGGTATCATCAGTTGCAATGTTTTACCTCCCAGTGCCAGGACAGTACCTGAGATTACATCCCAACTCCTGGCCCCATGTTTATATGTTCTAACCAAGCTTTAGTTAGACATGTTCAAATGTGTCCCACCTTCAGGCAGAGCCCCACCTCATTGGACTTCACCAGTATCTCCACCGATAAGCATGCAGTCGTTTTCAAGTCCTACAGTCCTGTGTGTGTAAAACTAAATATATTTTAAACTTTTTTTCCTGAGTCAGAGAACATTTGACCACCCCCTTTTCTCCAGAGGAACCCAAACTATACTGAACAACAGCAAAGCCACTTTCATTACAAGATTAAGCCATGCCTAATTTTGGGAGCACAACATAGGAAAAGGGTCATAAATGGTTTGGTCTGGGATGGCCAGATTTGGTTGGAGCCTAGCAATTCCCAGATGTTGGGTAGGTCATAGTATCTGAATTTGGCTAATGCAGTTATTCATACACTCAGATTCATACACCTTACCTTATGTCAATTTCTCAGCTACTCAGCTATCCACTGTCACCTACATGTTTTATTACTTAGTGCTTGTACACTGTAGAGGCAGCCATCTTGTGGTCTGCAGCAGAATGTTAGCAAATTCTTTAGATGTAAAATAAAGGGTTAGTCCACCAAAAACTGCTATTTGGTAATGGCAAGGATTACTCGGTTGTTGTTTTTTTTGTATATCTTGGGGTTTCATTACTAAGATCTCTACAGCCAAGTTACTAGGTCTGCTTACCTTGGATTCTTACTGCAATGGGATCCATGTGTAAAAAAGGGTGGTAGAAGAGCATGCTCCAGAATGTAGATACAGCCAATGGAATACTGATTCACCAGCAGCATCCACCTGTAACTTAAAAGCCAAGTGTGGCTGGCCTTGGGCTCACACCATGGTGGACCTAATTTATCAAGGTATCTATCATAAACATAGTTGTGTCATTCAGAACTACCAAGAACATCCAGACTTTAAGGAAAAAGCTGACTGGTTGCCACAGACAGCACAATTTTTCATTTTGAACACCTTGATAAACGAGGTCCAATGATGTGTTTAGTTTTTAAAAACAATAAAAAAAAAAAGGTTGATAACCAACAAGATGGCAGCTCCATGACAGCCTTGCTCCTGCGATACGCAAGCAGAAAGGGCAGGGAGTCACAGCTGTTAAAAGAAAGCTTGGAACAGAGGAAGAGTGAATGGTACATACTTTCCTTGAGATGCCAAGGGCAGGTATTAGACAGAGACCACCAGCACAAACACAGCACAGATACACGCAAAATCCAGGAGAAGAGGCCACAGTCATTGTCTAGGCCACCAGGGGGCAAAGGATCCCAGTCATTTCAAAGTCCATATTAGATACAGCCAGTGGGGTCACTGAATACAATATCTTGCCATGTGGCACATTTCAAGGTCCACCAGGAATACATGAGCCTATGGCCCACACAAATACATAGACACAGGCTACAGAGCTGCAGTCACGACACAACCAGCTGGAATCCCACCGTTGTCCAGTTAGATGTTGACAGAGAACCACAATCACACGTCCAGATGCGAGTAAGACTTCACCCCCGTTGAATCACTGGAGTATTAAGTAAGATAGGGGGGCAGACCTCACTGGTGACACAGATCCTGCGCTGGTGGGCAACCAGAAGCCACCATGGGCCCAACATTCCCTATTTTCTGTAATGTATGCTCTAAGGAGGAGTAGGGCACTGAAGGGTCACAAGTTTCTTCTCTAATTCAGTGACCTGTAATAAGGACAGAAAAAAAATAGAAAGCAACTTTAGGAACGATTGATTGAGATGGACTAAGAATGCTGCCTGAGCTTCCCCCGTCATATTAGTCCCTGATTATGAGATTTTGAGATTTTGTGTAGTCTACTCTATAGGAAGCTACTTGTTTTATATTTTTTAAAGCAGAGTTTTACTCACCCCGTCAAAAAATAAAAGTCAGCACCTACAAAAACTGTAGCTGCTGACTTTTAAAAAACACTTACCTGTCCCTCGGTCCCAAGGTGTGTTCCCTGCAGCTCGTTTCACCAGCCGTCCTGTATTCCAGAGGCCGGAATCTTCAGTGTGGGCACCCGGCTGTGACAGCTGGGTGCCCACTGCAAATTCGCGACTAGCGCAGAGCTTCATGAATGGTCCTGTAGTGTTCTGGGACCTGTCACGTGTCCCAAAAGACTACAGGGAGGGAGGACACCTTCCATTTCCGATCGCCTTGACAATCGGACCGGAAGTGGGAGTGGGTGCCTATCAAAATCGGATACCCATTCCCCCCCGCCCCCCAAAGGTGCCAATTCTTAATGGGGAGCGGGGGAGCAGTCCTTAAAGCGGAACTTCCCCTTTTGGGTGGAGCTCCGCTTTGAGGTCAATGGCTACTCGTAGTAAGTGGCACTACTAAAAATCGTCTGTGTAACTCTAACCATAAGGTGGCTCATTCTTAGGTTATAAACTTATAACTATGGATAAGTGAAATTAAGAGTTTTCATTACCTCAAACTTGCAGCCAAAATCAGAAGATTTCAACTTCCTATTGGACACTGAGGTCACCTGTTATTTCTACATCCAAAAGTGCATTGTGGAACAGGTGGAAGAAAGTAGATCAGTCCTTGAATTTCTCTGCTCAAACACTTTAGGGTTGATTTACTAAAACTGGAGCTTGCAAAATCTGGTGCGGCTGGGCATGCTAACCAATCGGCTTCTAACTTGCTCTTGTTCAATTAAGCTTTGACAATAAAACCTGGAAGCTGATGGGTTTCTCTGCAGGACTGAACCAGATTTTGCACCATGCAGGCTTAGTATTTCAGTTCCTTTGCTTTAAAGAGTAAAGAAGCAAGAAAAAAAAACAACAAAAAAAAACAAGACAACATGAAAAGTATAGTAGCCAATCTGATTTAAAGTAGAAGTCCCAGTCTAATCCTATCTAAGCCTAAACCTGCTCCTACCCCCATTCTAAGCTCTATAATAACTAGCCTGTAGAAGAAAGATGTCTCACCTATACCCTGGGATCTCCAGTCCAGTCATATGATCTCAGTGCCGACTTCAGGGTAGAGGAGGAACAGTCGATGCCCCATAGTAAGCCTAAGGGTGATGTCACTGCATAGGCATTGCAACCATTGCCGGCGGTCTCTCCTCTTCACTAAAGCCGGCCACTGGGGAGATCACTTGACCAGACCAGAGTACCAGGTAAGTATACGCATCTTCCCTCTACAGGCTAGTGGCTCTTGGATTGGTTCTTGGGAGTTATGCAAATATCAAAATGCCTTGATGGGCGGATGTCAGTCTAGGGAAGTTTGCCTTCTTAGGCAGGATGTATTTGCACACAGACCAGCCCAGAAAACACCCACATGTGAAGCTAAACCTGTATGAATGAACAAACTGAAATCCAATGAGAGATAGGGTCGGACCAGGGACAGTCAGGGAGAAAAGTGAAAGATAATGCTGGATGTCCACCAGCCAACTAGCTGTGGTTTCTAATGCAAAATGTGAGAAGCCTGCAGTGTGCAGTGAACTCAGAATAAGCAGCTGTACTGTATCTAATGATACCTTTTCCTGAAGTCTCTGGATCTCCGCAGCATGTGCAGTCTCTATCTCTTCCAGTGCCTGCTTTTGCATCTCTTCTTTCTTCAAAAAGTCCAGCTCCCTTCAAATAAGAGGGTTACATACTTTAATTTTTTATTCCGTTTCTGTAAAGCAACAATATATTCCTTTTAGGTCCTGTCCAGGGGCGGACTGACCATTTGGAAACTTGGGCACTGCCAGAGGGCCCGGGGTCAGTAGGGGGCACCATGAGATGCCCCTGGTCCCTTTTTCATAGGTTTTTTTGAGTTTGGGCAAGGACACAGGGGCCCCATGATCCCCTATTGCCTGGGGGCCCCATGACTTGTCAGTCCGCCCCTGGTCCTGTCAACAAGATCTTAAAATCGGAAAGCTTTATTTCTTCAGATTTATCCAATTTCCCATTTAACCTCATATTCTGAAGGTAGAAAATGCTGTGCTGTCAAAAGCAAAGAATGCAACAAAAAGAGAATCTTTTAATTGATAATCACTAATGGGTTGTACCATTTCAGAATTGGAGTGGGGTGGTACTGCACACCTATAGAAAGCTAGAGATTTCTTGATCCAGCTGTATACTATCTTGGGACAGAGGCATCATATTCAAAATTTTCAACCTGACTAGATCAACTGCAGCATCAAATTTATCATTAAAGAAATATATGAACAGATCTTTGTCATTCACCTATCTTCCATATAATTATAATGAAACACTGGCCAATTTGGCCAAAGCAAAAAAAAAAAATTCTCCATCTGTTCTCCAATGATCTCCCATTCTTCAACAAAAATAAAATATTTTAATTGATAATCACTAATGGGTTGTACCGTTTCAGAATTGGAGTGGGGTGGTATTGCACACCTATATAAAGCTAGAGATTTCTTGATCCAGCTGTATACTATCTTGGGACAGAGGCATCAAATTCTAAATTTTCAACATGCCTAGATCAACTGCAGCATCAAATTTATCATTAAAGAAATATATGAACAGATCTTTGTCATTCACCTATCTTCCATATAATTATAATGAAACACTGGCCAATTTTGCCACAGCAAAAACAAAATTTCTTCATCTGTTCTCCAATGACCTTCTCCCATTCTTCATTAGAGATGAGCTTGAGTTTGGTTCGAACCCGGAAAGAAGATGTCAGTGATGGAACAACCAGCTGTGATTCCCCACCCCACAACTGCATGTGCACAAGTGACGGAAATGCTTGTGACATCATTGACCTAATAGGGCCTCACGACCATAACATTGACCTAACATGGCCATGTGACCATATTGAGCCAATGATGTTATGAGCACACCTGTGTACATGCAGCTGTGGGGTGGGAAATTCCCTGCCCACAACTGATTGGCCCAGCACCGACAATTTCCTTCTGGGTTTCAGACCAAACCTAAGTACGAGTGGGAGAAGTTCATTGGAGAACAAGTGAAGAAATGTTTTCTTGCTTTGGCCAAATTGGCCAGTGTTTCATTATAACCATATTGAAGATAAATGATTGACAAAAACCCAGTCAATTATTTCTTAAAAGATAACTTTTATGCTTCAGTTGGCACTGATTGTTTCCTTTTGGGTTCAGCCGAACATGAATTTGGATCCAAACCCAAGCTGATCTCTACTTTTCGTCAATGCTCTTTAACAATAGTACTGAAATCTTTCTTGTGTCATAGTGGAACCCTTGTTAAAGCTTGCCTTCAGACAAACTTTTAGTTGATAGAATGAGGAAGAGTTTGAACTTCTGTCAGGTGGTGGAGGTCAGACAGGCAAGCAAGAGAAGAAATATGTCCTCTGTGGGTTAGAGAAAATCTCACTTTCTGACTATCTGAGGGGAATTCAGGGGAAATGTGAAAGGATCCCAATGAGAACACAGGAAACAATAAAAAAAATGATTTTCTAGAAGAGTGAGGAAGGTTTAGAACCTTTGTCAAGATTGTATTGCTGTCTTTGTTCAAAGGAAGATGATTTCCTCTCATTTCTTGTGATGGGTGTCAGGACAGAAGTGAGAAGTGAGAGACTTCAATGATGGTACAAGCAGCAAAAAACAAGTTTTCTTATAGAGGAACGGTTGAAGGGTTAGATCAGGCTTTCTCAACCAAAGTTCCTCCAGAGGTTGCAAGGGGTTCCTTGAGCAATGTTTGCTTCTCAAATAAGGAACAGTTGACACCAATGATCTTTTTAGTTATTCTGCCCACCGACCACAAATGCTAGAAACATCCTTCCCACTGACGATTACGATAATGTACCATAAGTTGTAGATAAATTACAGCAGGGGTTTCCTGAGGCTGGAAAGTTATTTCAAGAGTTCCTCTGTGTCTAAAATGTTAAGAAAAGCAGGGTAGAACCTCTGTCAAGATTTGATTACTGGCTGTGTGCTGAATAAGATTTGGCCTCAATTCCTTTCTTGGTGGTCGAGGTCAGACAGACAAACAAGAGAAGAAAAATGCACTCTGTGGGGTCACGGCCTCACTTCTGTTCCTGGTGGTGGAGGTCAGACAGACAGGCAAGAGAAGAAAAATGTCATCTGAGGTCATAGCCTCACTTCCTTTGCTGGTGGTGGAGGTCAGACAGGCAAGCGAGAGAATAGAAATGGCCTCTATGGGGTCATGGCCTCAATTCCATTACTGGTGGTGGAGGTCAGACAGACAGGCAAGAGAAGAAAAATATCATCTGAGGTCATGGCCTCACTTCCTTTGCTGCTGGTGGAGGTCAGACAGGCAAGCGAGAGAATAAAAATGTCCTCTATGAGGTCATGGCCTCACTTCCATTCCTGGTGGTGGAGGTCAGACAGAGAAGCAAGAGAAGAAATATGTCTCCTATGCGATCATGTCCTCACTTCCAATCCTGGTGGTGGAGGTCAGACAGGTAAGCAAAATATTGTCCTTTATGGGGTAATGGCCTCACTTCCATTTCTGGTGGTGGAGGTCAGACAGACAAGCAAGAAAAGAAATATGTCCTCTATGGGTTCATGTCCTCACTTCCATTCCTGGTGGTGGAGGTGAGACAGGCAAGCAAAAGAATGTCCTCTGTGGGGTCATGACCTCACTTCCGTTTCTGGTGGTGGAGGACAGACAGGCAAGCAAGAGAAGAAATATGTCCTCTATGGGATCATGTCCTCACTTCCAATCCTGGTGGTGGAGGTAAGACAGGCAAGCAAAATATTGTCCTCTAAGGGGTCATGGCCTCACTTCCATTTCTGGTGGTGGAGGTCAGACAGACAAGCAAGAGAAGAAATATATCCTCTATGGGTTCATGTCCTCACTTCCATTCCTGGTGGTGGAGGTCAGACAGGAAAGCAAGAGAAGAAAAATGTCCTCTATGGGGTCATGTCCTCACTTCCAGTCCTGGTGGTGGAGGTCAGACAGGCAAGTAAAAGATTGTCCTCTATGGGGGTCATGGCCTCACTTCCATTTCTGGTGGTGGAGGTCAGACAGGAAAGCAAGAGAAGAAATATGTCCTCTATGGGGTCATGTCCTCACTTCCAGTCCTGGTGGTGGAGGTCAGACAGGCAAGTAAAAGATTGTCCTCTATGGGGGTCATGGCCTCACTTCCATTTCTGGTGGTGGAGGTCAGACAGACAAGCAAGAGAAGAAAAATGTCTTCTATGGGGTCATGGTTAGGATTTATAACTTGACAGAAAAATATCCTTAGTAGGGAAACAGACAGCATTAGAAATGCAACACAAGGTCTAACCTACCCTCATTTTACTTAAAATTCAAAGAAAAGTTGGACTGCAATAATCATATTCAAGCAACATGCTCAGCTTCTTTGGTTAAAAAATAAATAGTTATCATTTAATATATATATATATATATATAAAAATGTTTTTTGAGAGGCAAGTTTACGTACTTTTGCTGGTACTCCTTGATGAGCCTCTTGGCCTTGCTGTACTTGCGCTCCAGACCCTGATGCTGGGCTTGGGTCTCCTTCAGATGCTCATCCACTGCCTGACAAAGGCTTTGAGCTTCCATCCAGTAACCCTGCAGCTTCTCCACACGCTCCCTGTTCTCCTGAACACTCTGCTGCAGCTGCACCTTCTCCACTCTCCAGCGAGATCGCTCTTGCTCCAGCCCAGCCAGCTATAGAGACAGCGAAGACATTGAGATAGAAGGGAATCGAGCATCTTTCATGTGAATGTAATAGTTCTTTTACTATAAGTGTTTGGTTAAAAGTCACTTTTTCTCTGTAGAGATTTTAAAGCAATAATATAGTATATTTTAAGTAAGTGAAGAATTATTATTGCAATGCCTCACTTCAAATATATTTTTTAATCTGACTTTCACATTTTTATGTCCTACCTTTTTAGATTTTTTCATTGGTTTAAATTTATATTTTTCGAGTAGCTACGTAACTAGAGGGAGCTTTGTATTTAAAGGATAAGTTCACCTTTTGGGAACATGTGACATTTTCCACATGTTTTTAGGGTGGAACATGTAACATGTTCTCATAGCCGCAGCAGCCGACCGCCACCCATGGCCCCGCCTCCCTCTGACAGATAGGAGAAGTCAAATTTGAAAACAACACGGCCGTGCGGGGCTCCGCCCACATGGCTGCATCATTCATTCACGGACTTCCTTGAATGAATGAACTGCAAGTCCCGACAGCCTTAGCGACTGTTGGCTTGCAGTTTTCAATGAGCTACTACAGTGCTGTGGAGCGTCGTGGTAGCTCATTGAACTTTCCTGTCAGAATTTCTGCTTGCTTGTACATCCCATACGGCAAAACTGCGGTTGAGCCGAGGTTTTACAGCATCCCCAAGTGATCCCCCTATATCTACAGAGGCAGCGGCCAGGTATGTATATACATGCCACAAGTGCAACAGGAATTATACCTATCACATTCAGCAGGGGCTACTGCTCATCATTCGCCACTCATTCAAGTGAATGGGGTCATTCTGCGCAATCATGTGCAATGCATGCGGTTGTTGTGCGGGGACCAAGTGGTAAAGCAAGTGGTGAGGATGCGATTCAACATCTCCTGACCACCTGGATCGCTTTTCAGTGGAGTGGTAGTACCTGCTGCATATGTGAACTTGTCCTAACACAGAAGGAGCAGTAAAGCACAACCATTGTGTGGTGCTGCAATACAGAGCCTGTCTATGTAATGATTTAATAAGGCTTCCCCATTCGAATATATATAATTACAATCTATACTTAGAAGAAGGGTTTAAACGCATTCTCACAGCCCTTTTAGTTTATATACATCAAGCTGATCTAACATGGTTATGTGAAAAACCTAGAAAGGGTTATATATTCCCTTTAATGAGAAGGGGCATTAGGGAAGCCATATTCTCTCTCTCTCTCTCTCTCTCTCTCTCTCATTCACTCTCACCCCCCTCCCTCTCCCTCTCCCTCTCTCTCACCCCCTCTCTCTCTTTCACCCCCTCTCTCTCTCCCCCCCCTCTCTCATCCCCACCCCCTCCCTCTCCCTCTCTCTCACCCCCCTCTCTCATTCTCCCTCCCCCTCTCATTCTCTCTCTCTCTCTCTCTCTCTCTCACACACCCCCCTCTCTCTCATTCCCCCCCCTCCCCCTCTCATTCTCTCTCTCTCTCCCTCTCGTTATCTCTCTCTCACATTCTTTCCCCCTCTCTCATTCTCCCTCCCTCTCTCATCTCTCTCTCTCTCCTTCCCCCTCCCCCCTCTCTCACCCCCACCTCTCTCTCCCCCTTTCTCACCCTGCTCTCTCTCATTCTCTGTCTCTCTCCCTCTCATTCTCCCCCTCTCACTCCCTCTATCTCTCCCTCTCTCTCTCATTTTCCCCCTCTCCCCCCTCTCATTCTCTCTCTCTCTCTCTCCCCCCCCCCCCTCTCTCTCTCATCTCTCTCCCCCCCCCTCTCCCATTCTCTCTCCCTCTCTCATTATCTCTCTCTCTTATTCTCTCTCCCTCTCATCTCTCTCTCTCTCTCTCTCTCTCTCTCTCTCTCTCTCTCTCTCTCTCTCTCTCGTTCTCTCATTCTCATTCTCTCTCTCATCTTCTCTCTCTCTCTCTCTCTCTCTCTCTCATTCTCTCTCTCTCTCTCTCTCTCTCTCTCATTCTCCCTCTCCCCTCTCTCTCTCTCTCTCTCTCATTTATATTTAGATGTTAATAAAAGAAATGGCTAGAATAGTAGGTACTTTCTGCAACGACTAATCAATTTCCTCTTTCAGTCTTACATCATTCATCAAGAAAATGAAAGGCAAATATCATGTTATAGGCCATAAAATCAGTGTCAGGCATGAATTCCATCAGACAGATTGACATTTGAGGCTAGCAGTCTCATATTCTAATAAATATGCCCTCTACTCATTGGTAAAGGGGGGTTATACTAAGGATTAAAGTGTATGCAAACCCTACAATACACTTCTCTTATGAGAGGGAGAGGAGTTCTTTAGTCTTCTCCTATGGTGACAATGCAGCTCCTCAAGAGATACAGTACGATAAGTTAACGTTGTCACCCTAGGACAGGAAGTGTATTGCTGGCAGGATCACCAGGTGAAAATAAAGGAATAAAAGCCTCAAACAAAAAGAAGCTAATGCAGCCGCTACATTGAAAGACTGGTTAACTGCAATACATTACATTTGGGTTTAGATATTCTTCAATGGCAACGGCACATGTAGAGTAGTCTCTCCTCACCTTTCTCTTCAGTTGTTGGATTTCTGCCTCAGTCACAGCATGCTTTATCTGAAGCTGTATGAAAAGACAAAATGAGCTCTGTTATAGTATAAAAAGATATGGTTATGTTGACCAACTCCTGCAACATGGCTGCAGTCTCTGACCATCACTTGTAGCATCCCCATAGTCTCTGACCATCACTTGTAGCATCCCCATAGTCTCTAACCACCACTTGTAGCATCCCCATAGTCTCTGACCATCACTTGTAGCATCCCCATAGTCTCTAACCACCACTTGTAGCATCCCTATAGTCTCTAACCACCACTTGTAGCATCCCCATAGTCTCTAACCACCACTTGTAGCATCCCCATAGTCTCTAACCACCACTTGTAGCATCCCCATAGTCTCTAACCACCACTTGTAGCATCCCCATAGTCTCTAACCACCACTTGTAGCATCCCCATATTCGCTAACCACCACTTGTAGCATCCCCATAGTCTCTAACCACCACTTGTAGCAACCCCATAGTCTCTAACCACCACATGTAGCATCCCCATAGTCTCTAACCATCACCATTACAATGTCTACATTCTAGAAGAGGTTTCTGTACCATTACATTTATTGAATATTACTGTATGTGTGACCCTTTGGTGATAACGGGGACAGCAATTGGGGTCCACTATAGCAACCGGGTTGACCACCACTTCTTTAGATACATGTTTGTAGACACCCTAGCCTAAGGATCTTGGAGGTAAAGTCTAAGCTGAATTAGTTTTACCAGTTTTCTATTGCGTCCCTAAAATAATCCACCAGAAAGGGTTTCTGCTTCATACAGGGCTATGGTACAATGAAACCCTGCATGTCTGTGTACTTGTTGGGCAGGTTAGATATCATATGGGGGGGTCAGGTCATTTCTTGAAAATTATTTTTTGTCCGATTTAACTTCTTAATGTAAGCCATACCTCCTTAAACTTGTGCACAAGTTTCTCAGGGTCCATCTCCACAGGGGACAAGGCATCTTCTCCTTCTGGTAATTCAAACACTTCAATAGCCAGTTCTCCACCTGGAAACATGGGACTCATCTCTTCGTCCTCCTCGTCTGTGGCATACTCCCCTGTCTGTGACAGCAAACAAAGCAGATAGTAGAATCAATGGAATCTCTGAGCTCACTAATTGGATAGGTAGAATATAATATCGTAGATAGATAGATCTCAGTTATGGCTGCAATCTTTCTTGGTCTACCTGACCTTGGGTTGGTATCAAGAGATCCCCGAACTTCCCACTTCTTAATAGGTGATTTGACAGTACTGATTGGCATATTCAAGGCTTTGGACATCTTTTTATGTCCTTTTCCATCTTTATAAAGTTCCATTACCTTGTTATGCAGGACTTTTGACAGTTCTTTTCTGATCCCCATGGCTTAGTATCTAGCCTAATCAGTGCTTCCATGTAAGAGCTAACAAAATCATTGACTATTTATACACTGACACTAATTGCAATTTAAAAAGCCACAGATGTGGGACATTAACCTCTAATTGGCATTTTTAACCCGTGTGTGTCACCTTGTGTGTCTGTACCAAGGCCAGACATTCCAGGGGAGGGAAACTTTTGATGATGGCCATTTGAGTGATTTCTGTTATCATTATGATTTATAAAGGAGCCAAACAATTATTTGATAATAATTGGCTTCATATGATCACCATCCTTCAATAAAAGAGCATTTTTGGCATGATCTATCATATTTTCAATATCAATGCCAAAATTTCACAATTTCTGCCAGGGTATGCAAACTTTTGAGCACAACTGTAGATAGATAGATAGATAGATAGATAGATAGATAGATAGATACTACTCACTCACCTCCTCATCATCCTCGTTACACTGGTTATAGCGTTGTTCCATGTTCTCCCTCTGCCATCTCTCTTGCTCCAGTGTCTGTTGGATCAGCTGGGCCACCTCACTCTGCTCTCCAGGCTTCTCTCGGCCAATCAGAAACCTTACACACAAAATTCAATACCATCACACATATATCAAGTTGCGTCAACACTCCTACACCCCAGATTGGTAAAATAGCTAATGAGCTAGAGGGTAGTACTGTAATACCAGAGCCACTCCAACTAAAAGTGACAGTTCACTTATTAATAAAATATGATGGGCAATGCCATCTTCTAGTTTCTTATATTTTAGGGGAACTCCAGCATCAAGATCCTTGCCATTGTTGCTAACTCTGCTCCTTCTCACATGGGGATTTTGTGAGTTTAGCAATGGCAGATATTAGAAACTGTTAGGTAGTGGTGTGAACCTCCTGCGCTCCCAAGTGTTTAAACTAAATAAAAATATATATAAATCCCAGGGGAAGCTGCTAACATTAAATCATATACCAGTGATTGTGATAAATAAATATAATAAAGAATGTAGCGCTACACCCAAAATATATATGCACATTTAAATGGAAAATTAATATATATAAAAAAAAGTGTGAAATCACAAAATCTCATAAAAATATATATATAAATGTGACAGTGATATCAATTAATATTAATTAGTGCCCATAAATCATAAAATCAACACAATAAAATAAATAGCTCAAAACATGTGAAAAAACATTTCCATATATATATGTATAAATCACACATACACATATATATAATATAATAATAATCACACGTGCCTCTTGTGAAGTGAAATAACCATTAAAATGGTACAGACAACAGTGCTCTCAAAGTCCAATAAATATTGCTGGTGACCAAAGAGAAAACAGTGCTTCCAATAACTACTGTTAGTGACCATAGGTAAAACTCGTGCAGATCTCTGAGTGCATATAAATCTGAGAATCCGACCACCATCTGGATAAGCCTCTCACCTCATCCCTTCGACCCTTGCGGATCAAAGAGCAGTTGTGGATCCCCCTCACGGATCCTCCAAGAAAAACTATCACTCCAAAGGTTGTTCTCTCAGAAATAAGTATTTCCACTCTGGCTCTTCTCCAGGAAAGTATTGCAGCATCAATAGGTTAATAGACTCCTGTTATGTTTCTGTTTTCAATTCCATTTTTTTTTTTTTTTTTTTTTTAATTTAACACCACTTGACCAAAGGTCCAGCAAGCAAGGTCCAGAATGGCATTGCCCATTCTGGACCTTGCTTGCTGGACCTTTGGTCAAGTGGTGTTAAAAAAAAAAAAAAAAAAAAATGGAATTGAAAACAAACATAACAGGAGTCTATTAACCTATTGATGCTGCAATACTTTCCTGGAGAAGAGCCAGAGTGGAAATACTTATTTCTGAGAGAACAACCTTTGGAGTGATAGTTTTTCTTGGAGGATCCGTGAGGGGGATCCACAACTGCTCTTTGATCCGCAAGGGTCGAAGGGATGAGGTGAGAGGCTTATCCAGATGGTGGTCGGATTCTCAGATTTATATGCACTCAGAGATCTGCACGAGTTTTACCTATGGTCACTAACAGTAGTTATTGGAAGCACTGTTTTCTCTTTGGTCACCAGCAATATTTATTGGACTTTGAGAGCACTGTTGTCTGTACCATTTTAATGGTTATTTCACTTCACAAGAGGCACGTGTGATTATTATTATATTATATATATGTGTATGTGTGATTTATACATATATATATGGAAATGTTTTTTCACATGTTTTGAGCTATTTATTTTATTGTGTTGATTTTATGATTTATGGGCACTAATTAATATTAATTGATATCACTGTCACATTTATATATATATTTTTATGAGATTTTGTGATTTCACACTTTTTTTTTTTATATATATTAATTTTCCATTTAAATGTGCATATATATTTTGGGTGTAGCGCTACATTCTTTATTATATTTAGAAACTGTCAGGTGGTTAAGATCTCCAGCATCCACTCAAGACTAAGATTTTAGTTTTAAATGGAAAGTGGAGTTGGGCTATAATTTTCACGTTTGGCAACCCAGCTCACTCTGCTCCCCCTCCCAACAGTGACTTAGCAGCCTTCCATCCTTCTAATCTTTAATGTAGATACAGAGAGCATACCAACAATAACAAGTAACAATATGAGGTTCCTATCAAACATCGTCTGAGATCTGGGAGTTTCAGACATGTATAAAAAAATAAAGAGAGAGAGAGAGAATGTGAGAGAGAGAAACATTTTATAGTATTGGGATCAGGTCAGAGAAAACTATACAGTGCTAAAATTTATCTCACCTTACGCGTCCCTTTGTATTCCTCAATACAGAAGCGGCGAAGGACTGTGTGACACCAACCAGACTGGTTCCATCAACTTCTACCAGCAGATCGTTCACCTGAATCCTGTATAATATATCAATAAATATCAGGGTATGCCAATGTAAGAGAAGGTTATACAATCCAATCCACAAAACTCATGAAATATAATATGGGCTTAGCCCAGACGAAACCAATGGCATGTTCCACCATACAAGAGTAAACTTTATAACCAATTGTTTATGGACATCTGACCATCTCACCTATGAGTTTGTTGGGTATTCCTTCCAAAACCATGGACAGGAATATGGATTTGCCTGCTCTTTTGCAGCTACAACAGTCTTTCTTTTGGGAAAGCATTCCACAAGATTGTGAAGTGGGTTTTTAGGAGTTTTTGCCTATTTGTGAAGTTAGGCATTGTTCATTGAGAAGACCTGGCTCACATGTAACATCCCAATTCATTTGAAAGGTGTTTAGTAGCGTTGTGATCATGGCTCTGTGCAGGTCACTCGAGTTTCTCAACACCAAACTGTGAGGTCAGGTATTGATGTTCAATGAGAAGACCTGGATGAATTAAGCATTCCAGTTTATCTCAATGGTGTTCAGTAAGGTTGAGGTCAGGACATTGTGCAGGCCACGAGTTTCTCCACACCAAACTGGGAGGTCAGGTATTGATGTTCAATGCGAAAACCTAGCTTGCATATGACATTCTAATTCATCCTAAAGTTGTTCAGTAGAGTTGAGGTCAGGGCCCTGTGCAGGTCACTTACGTTCCTCCACACCAAACTGTGAGGTCAGGTATTGATGTTCAATAAGTAGACCTGGCTTGCATGTAGCATTCCAATTCATCCCAAAGGTGGTCAGTAGGGTTGAGGTCATAGTTCTGTGCAGGTCACTCGAGTTCCTCCATCCCAAACTGTGAGGTCAGGTATTGGTGTTCAATAAGTAGACCTGGCTTGCATGTAGCATTCTAATTCATCCCAAAAGTGTTCAGTAGGGTTGAGGTCATAGTTCTGTGCAGGTCACTCGAGTTCCTCCACACCAAACTGTGAGGTCAGTTATTGATATTCAATGAAAAGACCTGGCTCGCATTGAGCATTCCAATTCATCCCAATGTTGAAATCAGGGCTCTATGTAGGCTACTCGATTTTCTCCACACCAAACTCATCAAACTATGTCTTTATGGAGCTGCCTTTGTACTTAGGGGCATAGTCATGTTGGAACAGAAAAGGGCCTTCCTCAAAGTATTTACCATGTAACATGTCTTCGTATGCTGTAGCATTAACAGTACCCTTTACTGGAAACATATGGACTCAATAATGCAGAAGGGTGTTTACATATTTTTGGTCATATACATTACTGTATATAGGCTGTCTGTAATCACATTGTTCAAATCTGGGGCTATATTAAAAGGATGAAACAAAGAACTCTGAATAGATAGTCATAATATCCAGTTAGAATTTTGGTTTCTTTTGAAAGATGATACCTCATTTATTGCTATGGGCAGCTGTTCTGGTTACTGTGTAAACCACCCCAGGGTGATATATATTGGATCAGCTGTGGAATGTCACTGTCATTGGGTTTCAAGCACAGAGTGTTCTATAGCTGCTGATTGGTCTATGAAAAGCACAGTTAATTGCTGACAGAAGGTGAGCAGACCATATCAGCCTACTCCTTTCCCATTGACAAATGCCCATATTGACAGATTGCCAGTCCAGGACTGACGGATGCAAACTCATGGTCTTCTGCTTAAATCACATTTGGAGATCTTCATTAAAATACAATATAATTAGATAAAATAGGGAAATTCTATCAAATTTTAAACTGGACTGTCCCTTATTTAAACTGATTTTTTTTTTGTAGTAAGCATAGCTAGCAAGTTTTCATGTTTCCCACCCAGAGAATTCTTACAGTATGGCAGCATGGTAGCTAGGTGCTTAGTACTCTTGCCTTGTAGTAAGTGGACACCTCTTCTAACCACTATTGTAAGAGGGCGCTTTTCCTCTGTTCACAAATGTAAGAGGGAACCTCTCCACTGACCACCAATGTAAGGAGATGCTTCACCGTTGACCATCTATGTAAGGAGGCATTTCACCACTTACTGCCCTCCATGTAAGAGTTGATGTCGCCACTGACCTTCTGTATAACAAGACTTTTAAAATGACTACGAATGCAAGGGGTCAGTTCACCAGTGACCAACAGTATAAGGGGGCACTTCACTATTGACAACCAATGCAAGGAGGCACTCCACAACTGGCTACCAATGTAGGGGTCACTTCACCACTGATTACCAATGTAAGGGGTCACATCACTGATCACCAATGTAAGAGGGCACTTCAACTCTGACCACCAATGTAAGAAGGCATTCCACAACTTACTACCAATGTATGCGATCACTTCAATATGACCACCAATGTAAGGGGGCACTTCACCAATGACCACCGTTGTACAAGGAAACATCACAGGTGACCACAAATGTAAGGAAGCACTCAACCAATAACTACCAATGTAAGTGGACACCTCCTCTAACCACTATTGTAAGAGGGCACTTCTCTGTTCACAAATGTAAGAGGGAACCTCTTCACTAACCACCAATGTAAGGAGATGCTTCACCGTTGACCACCTATGTATGGAGGCATTTCACCACTGACTGCCCATATAAGAGTTGACGTCACCACTGACCTCCTGTGTAACATGACATTCCAAACTGACTACCAATGCAAGGGGTAACTTCAGCACTGACCAACAATATAAAGGGGCACTTCACCATTGACCACCAAAGGAAGGAGGCATTCCACAAATGTCTACAAATGTAGGGGGTCACTTCACTACTGATTATCAATGTAAGGGGTCACTTCACTGATCACCAATGTAAGAGGGCACTTCAACTCTGACCACCAATGTAAGGAGGCATTCCACAATTTACTGCCAATGTACGTGGTCACTTCACCATGACCACCAATGTAAGGGGGCACTTCCCCAATGACAACCTATATAAGAGGCACATCTTCATTGACCACCGTTGTACAAGGAAATATCACATCAGTGACCACAAATGTAAGGAAGCACTCAACGAATAACTACCAATGTAAGTGGACACCTCCTCTAACCACTAATATAAGAGGGCACTTCTCTCTTCACAAATGTAAGAGGGCACCTCTTCACTGACCACTAATGTAAAGAGATGCTTCATTGTTGACCACCTATTTAGGGAGGCACTTCACCACTGACTGCCCATGTAAGAGTTGACATCACCACTGACGTTCAACATTCCACAACTGACTACCAATGCAAGGGGTCACTTTCCCACTGACCTCCAATGTAACGGCGCACTCACCACTGATCGCCCATGTAAGGGGGCACTTCACCACTGTAAGGGGCCTCCTAACCTATATATAAGGGGGCAATGAACCACTGACCACCAATGTGAGAAGGCACTTCACAGCTGACCACCAATGTAAGGAGACACTTTCCCTGCTAATCATCAGTGTAAGAGGGCAATTTGATCAATAATCACAGGGCACTTCACCACTGGTCACCAGCTTACAATCAAATCATACAGTCTCGCTTAGATGCTCCAATAATTATGTAATGTGAAGACCTACCTGATTGAATATATAAATTAAGTAAATTTTTCAGGCAGACCCCCCATACTAAATTATTTTTGGTAAATCTGCACAGAGATCATCCTACTATGTAATACACAATTCCTTTGAGTTGTGATTGGAATGTTTTTATGCATTGCATATAATAAACAGGCATTCAAATCAGTACAGTATTTATTATACAATAGAAAAACTGTTTTCTGGTTGACATTACCTTCCATCTCGGTGGGCTGCTCCCCCTTCGGTCACAGTCTTAACAAAGATTCCCAGTTTCTCCAGGCCCATATCGGCACCCGCTCCCATCCCAATAATACTGATTCCAAGACCTTCAGAGTCTGCAGAAAAAAAACATATAATAAGGGATCATAATGAGCAGTTAGGGCTTGTGTATGTGGGTTGGTTGTTACACATATTTGAAAGATCTGGAATGCATCTATTTTGCATCATATGGAGTGGTTCTGTCATTTATTGGCGTTTTATAAACAGCAGCACTTCATCTGCATATATTCCTCTATTCAAGTTATGAAAGGAGAACATTTAGTAAGCGAATGGTTGCAGTGAAAACACATTTCAAAAGGAATATATGATTGTAACTGTAGATCATTGGTAGATCTACTTCTGGACAACCATTGTCCCTATACATGGATCGAAATTTGGACGGTCCCTGATATTCGATTCATGTATGGCCAGCTCTATTTAAAAGAACAATCCATCCAAAACTGACTTGTCAGCTTTTTGTAGATGCTGGAGAGGTAAACCACCTGACAGGTTCTTCCATCACTCTGCCACTCTATTGGTGAAGTTCCTTGATCTTCACCACTGCGGTCATTATGAGGGGTTCCCATCGTCCCAGGTGGATTCTTTTTTTTATATAATGACGAATATGGGCAGGAACTGGAACACACGTTGGTGGGCTGGAATGTCCAAAACTCCCAGTTAGAAGTTATATCACTTTTGGGTGGATTAACCCTTTAGAAAGACATTGAAATGAGCAATCAAACCTAGTAATCGGTATCAAGTAGTCAGCTTTCGTTAGCCTACAAAAGAAGAGATCTGCCGAGGGCTATTTTTGGAAATTCCATATTAATTAAAATCCTAAAGTATTAGGGATTAAACTGACAGGCAAATGAACAGGCTAATCTCTTTTTGGTAAAAAGTGAACAGTTGCAGGGATGTGAACATCACAGCTTGTCAGGTCCCGGCATGGCACCTTTCCCTTGTCTGCGGTGGTAGATGACCTCTGTGGTTGCCGGGCAACAGCCTGGAGCATCGTGACGGCATCCAACAGTAGTGGGAGGCTTGACGCAGCCAGGCCTTTAAAAGGTCGATCCCGAACCTTCTTACAGGCTGTTTGCAGTATGTACGTGGTGGTCTCCTGCAGCTGCTTACAGTACAATCTGTGGGGGGAGACTAGCGATCCTCCTGGGGGCTCCTAGGTGTACTAAGACATATACTCTTTGCTTCAGATAATCTTCAAAAATTGTACTGGGAGATACATTGGGATGTCATTCCTGACCCCCTTATGAAACTTGAGGGCTGTCATTCCTGACCTCCTCATGAAACTTGAGGGCTGACATTCCTGACCCCCTTATGAAACTTGAGGGCTGTCATTCCTGACCCCCTTATGAAACTTGGGGGCTGTCATTCCTGACCTCCTCATGAAACTTGAGGGCTGTCATTCCTGACCCCCTTATGAAACTTGAGGGCTGTCATTCCTGACCCCCTTATGAAACTTGGGGGCTGTCATTCCTGACCCCCTAATGAAACTTGAGGGCTGTCATTCCTGACCCCTTATGAAACTTGAGGGCTGTCATTCCTGACCCCCTTATGAAACTTGAGGGCTGTCATTCCTGACCCCCTAATTTAGGGCTGTCATTCCTGACCTCCTCATGAAACTAGGTGGCTGTCATTCCTGACCCCCTTATGAAACTTGAGGGCTGTCATTCCTGACACCCTTATGAATCTTGAGGGTTGTCATTCCTGACCCCTTATGAAACTTGAGGGCTGTCATTCCTGACCCCCTTATGAAACTTGAGGGCTGTCATTCCTGACCTCCTTATGAAATTTGGAGGCTGTCATTCCTGACCCCCTTATGAAATTTGGAGGCTGACATTCCTGACCTGCTTATGAAATTTGGAGGCTGTCATTCCTGACCCCCTTATGAAATTTGGAGGCTGTCATTCCTGACCCCCTTATGAAATTTGGAGGCTGCCACTCTTGACCCCCTTATGAAATTTAGAGGTTGTCATTCCTGACCCCCTTATGAAATTTGGAGGCTGTCATTCCTGACCAACTTACGAAATTTGGAGGCTGTCACTCTTGACCCCCTTATGAAATTTAGAGGTTGTTATTCCTGACCCCCTTATGAAATTTGGAGACTGTCATCCTTGACCCCCTTATGAAATTTGGAGGCTGTTATTAGTGCCCCCTTATGAAATTTGGAGACTGTCACTTTTGACCCCCTTATACAATTTGGAGACTGTCACTCTTGACCCCCTTACGAAATTTGGAGGCTATCATTTCTGAACCCCTATGAAACTTGGGGCTGTCATACTTGATCCCCTTATAAAAATTGGCTTCCACTGGCTTCACTACTTTCAAATCTTCAAACCCCCTAAAATTTGATGGGCCCTATTGGCCTGGCAAGTAATATAAGCATGAATTTAATTCCCGATCGGCATTCTTTTATAAGTCTTTGACTCAAAAAGCATTGACGTTATTGCATCAACATAACAACAAGGCCACCATTATTTGCAGGGTCAGTGATGGCAAACTACAAATACCCTATGCACTTTGGATTCTCTGCTCTACCCACCCCTCACAAACATGATAGGTAAACTTCCAGTGTATGTATGGACTTCCTTCCTTCCCAGGCATCTCACTGTAGGAATCACTGAGAGGTAAAGGAGCCAGGTGAAATATTGATTCCAAACTTACTAAACATACTTACTAAACTTGATTCTATACTTACTGGATCTTTACAGAATAACTAAAGGCTCCTGTATGACTGTATACCCAAGTACCAAATCCAGTTACTATGTGATGCACAAGCCTCAAAAAGAAAGCAAAGAATGTAATTTACCTTCCCAGAGTGAGCCGAATCATCTGCCGTTTATATCTCATGTGCTTCCCCTCTAGACACTGCAGCTCACTCTTGGAGGGTTTCAAGAACAGTGGCAGTGCTTTCAATCCGGAAAAGCAGAGGACAGAACTGAGTGTGGCGCTGATTGACAAACTACAGGCTGTTGCATTAGCAGTGACAATCTGTTAGCCATACAACCTGCTACATTTTGTCATCCCATTCTACTACAATCAGGCACAGCCTACATGAGAGTGACAACTCTGATCTGCAATCAGCAGCAGTGCAGCATGGTTGCCACCCCATCACAGGAAGCTGAATTAGGTGGACTTGACTGGCAGGATCAACAGGTGTTTGTGGGACTTTGCAGGGCAAATTGATCAAACTGTAAAACTGGAATTTGTTTTTTCTCATTTCCTTTTCCGATCACAACTTTAAAAACTTGGATATTATTATTATTATACAGGATTTATATAGCGCCAACAGTTTGCTCAGTGCTTTACAATATAACAGGAGACAATACAGCAACAATACAGTTCAATACAAGAGGGTTAGGAGGGCCTGATCCTTGGAGCTTACAATCTAAGAGATTTTAAACCCAAAAATAAAAATGTGCTGGGCAGCTTATGCAGGCGATAGACGGGTCGAAAAACCGGCCGTTTAAAAAAAAAAAGGGATAGGAGGGCCCTGATCCTTGGAGCTTACAATCTGGATATCCCATCAATTTCTGACTTGGTGACAGCAAAGAGTGAAGCTCCCCAGCAGGCACAGACAACAAGACGGGATAGTGGCGCAATCCTTCACTGCGTTATCCAATGCTAAAATTACAGTTCAGCTTTAGATATCTTAAATAGTTTATCATAAACTTTGCATGACAGACATACAGGGGGCTACCATTACTAATCTCTACCTATCCAAAAAAATTGTTGGCTGAAATTCCACTTCAGCTCTACTTGAAGCTGTGATACCAACCTTCACCAGAAGGTGACGCTGTAGAGAAAATTGTAATTGCTGCTTTAGATATAGGTAGGTTCCAAAATACTTAGAGAGGACCAAATGATACAATAGGGGTTGTCTTTTATAGACATCCCCTTTAATAAATGGCCCTGACTGTGCAGCTTTGTACAAGCACAGTTATGTCTACAGAGAAGCTCTCTGCTATACCCAAGGGCAACAAAAATAGTCCTCCTTGAATTGAATGCAGAAAAATAAACGAAGGCATTTCATGAAATTCACTTAAGGGCATGTACAAACCAATAAATTCATGTTGTGGAAACCCCTTAGAAGATCCTTTGTTGAGCTTAAAAGCTTCTCTTTAAATATGCGGTAAAACACTTTACAGGGAATAATAGATGTATGCTAGCTGTTTATGACGACTTTGATATAAGAGTGCTGGAGACAAGGGGAGAGAGAGGAGATGTGTTTATAGGAAGAGTTTGAATGGGACTCAATACATCTTTTCCTTCAAAATATAAATCATTAGAATCGGTAGAAATTGGTTCAAGGATCTTGTGGCATTCTAAAGATACTGTAAATGGTAGAATGATGCCACCTGAAAGGGCAAGACCTTCAAAATTGATACAAAGTTGGGTAGATTCTGGTATATTAATGACCCACCCACATCTTTTTTTTCCTAGGGATCCTGGTAGAATCGGTAGAAATTGGTTCAAAGTGCAAGGATCTTGTGGTATTCTAAAGATACTGTAAATGATAGAATGATGCCACCTGACAGGGCAAGACCTTCTAAATTGATATAAAGTTGGGTAGATTCTGGCATAATAATGACCCACCCACATCTTTTATTTCCTAGGGATCCTGGATCCTGGTAGAATCAATAGAAATTGGTTCAAAGTGCAAAGATTTTGTGGCATTCTAAAGATACTGTACATGGTAGAATGATGCCACCTGAAAGGGCAAGACCTTCAAAATTGATATAAAGTTGGGTAGATTCTGGCATATTAATGACCCACCCACATCTTTTTTTCCTGGGGATCCTGGATCCTGGTAGAATCGGTAGAAATTGGTTCAAAGTGCAAAGATTTTGTGGCATTCTAAAGATACTGTACATGATAGAATGATGCCACCTGAAAGGGCAAGACCTTCAAAATTGATATAAAGTTGGGTAGATTCTGGCATATTAATGACCCATCCCACATCTTTTATTTCCTGGGGATCCTGGATCCTGGTAGAATCAATAGAAATTGGTTCAAAGTGCAAGGATCTTGTGGTATTCTAAAGATACAGTAAATGATAGAA